ATATAGGTTTTGTATTATTAGATAATTTTGGGGGTGAATATGGCAGGAAAAACTGAACGGAAGAAGGTATTTTTATAAATGGCAGGAAAGTCCATCAGGAAAGTGCAGGGGATTCAAAAGGTGGACACAATTTTGTTGTACCCTCATTGCTAACCACCCAAGCTTCCTTGTAGAGGGATGGTTGACTGTTCACATGTTGTAACAAAGTATTATGTCCTGAAAATGTCTTCAGAAGTGATTGCAGTAGTGACTAATGGATGCATTTACCCAAACTGTAATTTGATCTAGTTTAATCTGAATTGCAGCAAGCAAATGTTTACTGTAGATCCCTAATTCATCAGGAAGACCAATCTATTCATGGTGAGGTAGTCAAGGGTCTGAGAAGGTTCTCATTTATCCAGGTCAGGGTATAACTAGCAATATTTAGCCACATTCAACTGGACTTGTTCTGTATCTTAAAGACTTTTAACCACTCATCAAACAATTAGAACTAGGTAGATTTACAATCTTTCATCATGTTCTTGGACAATCAGCATTTGCTTTGACACAGTAAATGAATTAAGGTGATTGAGTTACCTGCATTGTTATATTAAAGGAGAACAATGAGGTGAGTAAAAATCACTCATCCTCATAGTTCGAGCCAACGTGTGACAATGAAACTGTCACACGTCAGCTCAATAGATCGGGAAGTGAGCAAACACATACCGTCGCTCGCTCACTTTTCTATCATCTCCCTGCAGAGAGCAGAACGGACGGGGGAGGGGGCGGGTACAGCTACCTCTGCCTCTAGATAGGCAGAGCCAGTTGTCATTCACGCAGCTGGGTGGATCCCGACAGCATTGTCGGGATCCCTCCCGGCTGCGACGGTCTCAGTATACCGTGAGCTATAGCTCGCGATATACTGAGCTTTGGGTCATGGGAGGACGCTAGTATATGTCCTCCCGTGACCCTTCAGAGAACTATGGGGAAAAACACTTACCCTATAGTTCTCTTTTAATGCTTATAAATGCTGAAGTGTGTTCCTGACATTCATTAGAACTTAGGAAGCTACTTGGATATGTAAAACATCATCATTAACATTACAGAACTAGTCCAATGAAATATGAATACTATTTGGTAGATAAATAGTCCTTACCTGCTTATTGGGGTATCCACCTGTCCCTCATTTGGCATGGGGATTAGGGCACACCTTTCATCTTAATCAAAGGATTAAGAAAGTAGGAGCACATGTTCCTTGAGGAAACTAATAAGAGGTCCAAAGGACCCATGCACTGGTGCGCTGCACAAGTAAGCCTAAGGCTTCATTCACACATGCAAAACATAAAAACTAATATATTCCAATATACCTTGTTCACACATGTGCGATGTCCATGTGGCACGATAACACACATCGTGCCAAAATAGTTCCAGCTAGATATTTTAGGTAGATTCCTAGAATTCTGGCTACAGCAGGAGCCGCAAACATGATGAATCTGCGCGTATGTTAAAATGTGCGTTTTTTTCGTGCCGCACGGACGAATACGCGGAAAATCGTGCTGATTTTCAAACTGCTATGTGTGAATGGAGCATAATTGTGAATACCCACCAGGCAAATTGAATTTCAACTTCTTTTATGCTGATTTGCAGAAAGAGTGGATTTTCAGAAATTTGCTCATCTCTAGTTGCCAGTGGTACTGGCAGAGGGAAAAAGGGGGACGAGCCAGCTGGCTACAAGAGGACCTGCAAGGAAAGAAGGTAGGTAAGAAGGACTCACCTTCAGCCGATCATCCTCTGTCGCTGATATGGTAGTCTCGGCCACGAGAGTATCTGCTGGCGGAAAGGAAAGGGTAACTCTGGGTGGAGGCATAAGAGCCAGCAGTTTGAAGGGCTCACTAAAGAGTTTGCCATCTGCTTTTCTGCCATATCTGACAGGTAGGCAACATGCGTAGCAGTGTAGCGCTGCGGCGATCGGCAGATAGTGCTGTGTTTGGATTGCCCAGCAGGCAGATAGAGCGTTGAATCCAATCCAGGTTTAAAACGAGGATCCAGAGAAGTGCCTTGTGTCAAGGCCTCGTCCGCAAGGACAAAGATCTGCGTCATGGGTCCAGGTACATCAAGCAGTTTATGCTACGTAGTTTTTAAGCCTTGTTTCCAAACCCCGTCTGGGGTCAAGACCCTTCCTATTAATATAGGTGACCATAAGCTGGTCAAATTCAGGTGTGGCTGAGACTTTATACAGGATGGAGGGTCGAGGGCATTCCGCCTGAAGGCGGTTGCGGACCCCATTGTCTAAGGGCTTACGTAGCCAGACCAGTAGGTATCTGGCAATATGGTTTGGAAGGGTCCATTCCGATGACCTGGGATGGTGAATGAATCTGGGATCAAAAAGTGCTTCCCCAGTAGGGTCAAGCACCGAATCGGCATCCACCAGGTCCGAACACTGCTGGGTAAGGGCAAGTGTAACACTGCGGGGCTCACCCGCGTCACTACCCAATGGCAATTGGGTTTCCAAGGCCTCCTGAGAGGAGGGATGATGGGCTTCCCCGAGGGTGAAGTATGAGATAACCGTCCCACCGAAGCAAGGACTGAGGAGCGTCTAGCTCATTTAGCAAGGCCCTTGCCTTTGTTTGCTGATTTACTGGACCCTTTCCAGGGCGCTTACCCACTCTGCGAGAGTCCCCATATACTTGGGAAATAAAAAGTGTCATCTGACTCTGCATAAGAATGGACGGTACGGGCCTCAGGGGTTCGTAGGTAATTATAGGAGGATGGGCCATAGCCAAAAGCCTCTCCAATGGCCGCCTGATTCCAGGTTTGTATTTCGGCCGGAGGGGTGGCCGGAGTAGCAGTGGGGTCAGACATGACAAGATATAAATATATACAGCACCCTAATAGAATACAGGTGGGATCACAGTGCAACAGAAGTGGGGCTCATCCACTAATTAGAAGGCACACTAATGAAAGCTGGGGCTCATCCAGCACATAAAAGGCACAGGTACAATTAGTAACAAATAGAGGAGGCAGAGGTGGGGCTCACCCACAAACAGAGAAGGCACAGACACATAGAACAACAGTGGGGCTCACCCAGATCCAAGGATGCAAAAGAATTCGGAAGACTGTGTAGGAAATAACTTGGCTCCAAGAAAATGGCCGCTGCACTGAGAAAGAAG